CTGACCGTGGGAGGACAGAGAAGAAAAACGTTAGTGGCTAGCTAAAATAAACCTAGTCTCAAATCATCCATCTGCTGTGCTGAGACCGGCCTGGCGGGCTCTTAATAATCTGCATTTGACATTAAAGTTAAAAGCATGAAAGTGCTTCACAACTCCAAATCTCGCGCCCGACCAGGCCGCGCCTCGCTTCCCCTCTACCCTGGAGCTCACACAGATTCCCCCACCCCCAGTTCAATCCGGATCAATCCACTCTGAAACATACCGAGGTCCAAGTCCAGCTCCGTTACATTAACGGGAGTTACTCCGTTGGGATCCCGCCGCCAGCACGAGCAAGGCGGGCCTGGTCCGTCGCTGGACTCCTTCTCCCTCGCTCCGGAGCTCGGGTAATTCGGTTCCGCCCGGAAGTCGTTCCTCCCCTCTGATTGGCTTGGAGGTCAGCCGTTTTCTCCCACCCAAGAGAGCTTCTCAGTCTGAGGGCTGTTGGTAAAGAAGACTTACCACAGGCCTCCAGGGGGGTTGGACTACAACACCTATCATCCTCCCTAGTCTGGGATTGTTTTGCCTAAACATTCTGCTCCAGCCTTCTCCAAAAATCTGGAGGCAAGCACTTGGAGAGTTGAATCTCTGGAAGCCGGTCGTTTTTCTAACAGGCAAAAGCTTGTGAAAGGCTAGATCATGCATTCCTTTCTGTCATAAATGATCCAGCGGAGGATTTTTTCTTTCTTTTTTTTCTAACGCTGGGAAAGTTGGAAAGAAAGAGGAGGACCAGCAGCAAAGTGGATGGGCTCAGTTACAGAGTTGATTAGGGCACTGTTGGAAGACCTGAGGGATCCAGTTAGGGACCGATCATCATGGAGAAAATCTACCTTTGTGGTTGCTAGGAGTAAAAAATGACTTGATGGCACATAATCAGTCAACCAACCAACCAACCAACTAACCAACCAATGAATCCCAGCAAATAGATCTGTTCAGAGAGAACATCCACCATGAATGCCCTCTGCTGGAGAAACAACACAGCAGTTGCGGACTGAACGTTTTATTCCCCTTCACAAAAGATATACTTTTAAAAAACATTTCCAAAAGAATGAATCCTATAAAGGTTGGTGCCAGGCTGGACTCACGATGGCTGAAACTTTAAATTCACAGCCTGTCAAAGAGGAGAAAAGAAATACAATCTGTCGAGTTGCAGGAGACTGAAGCATACAATGCCTGCATCTGCATGATCAGCTCACTTCAAAGATCCAGCAGAACATGCGATGTTCATCATGGCCAGTATTTCATCGCTTGGCATTTTGTGCAAACCAAGGTCATTCACTGATATTATTAACCTGGGAGCTACTGACTCCTTGGATGTCTATGGACAGATTTCAGGGTGTTCTTACTCTTGGATAGGAAAAAAGATTATAACTTAATTTCCACAAAGTTCTAACTGAAATACAGCTTTTCATTCAATAGAGTATGTAGGCCACCAGGTATGTATGGCCTCCAGACTCCAAAAATGTTTGTTCAAGTCAAGGAATCTCATTATCAAAAATTATTACACCCTTAAAAAGGGTACTATCATTATTCATTTAACAGATTAATAGAGAATCACGTATATTACTGTGGTGCATATTTGTTATTTTTTTAATATTTTCATAACTGCATTTTAGCATACTTGGTTTCCTTTGTAATATAATCTGTATCTATATATTTTATTTTATGCATTTCAATACATTTTTCCAACAAGGAGTCTATAGGTTTCACCAGATTCTCAGATGGCACGAAAAGGTTATGAACTCCTGCCTTGGAGGGTTTTCACCTGTCAAATCCCTTTTTTAAAAGATCCCTCTTTTATCAAGGATTTTGTTTCAGTTTTTAGTAATAAGAAACCGGCTTAGCCACTGACTGGGTAAGATTGTAAGACTGAGAAACTCTAATGTGTTTCAGATGTAACGGTTGTTCCAATGGCATTCATCCCGCTTTGTGTACCTGTGCTCTACAGCAGGGTTTCCCAACCTCAGCAACTTAGGTGTGGACTTCAACTCCCAGAATTCCCCAGCCAGCATGCTGGCTGGGGAATTC